AGAAGGGTAGCTACTTTTTATCTTAATAATGCGTGAACGAAGTCGCGGGCAATAGCTAGTTTAACAATACAATTGGAAAAGTAACAACTCTAAATACAGTAAATTACAGAAATTCTTTACTTAGCAGCTCTCGAATTGTGATATAAATAAAAAAATGAGTAAGAATAAAATATTATCGTAACTTCATAAACATTAACAACATATGGTAGGGCTTCTCTTGGCAGCTAGCCGAACTCCGTGTATACAGATGTCCATTCATTGAATATCACTTGAGTGATCGCTTGTGGGCGTGAGTGTAATCATGCGAAACGGAAGTACGTAGAGAAACATCGTATCTGTGTACTAGACCCTTTTTCCACTAACTTTAACCATTCAATCGATCAGGAAAAAGGATCTAAGAGAAAATCTCAATAACCACTGCGGATTCCTAAGAAGTCATTGTTTAATTATCTATGAACTATTTCAAAATACGTTACAAAATCTTGGTCTATTTTTGACTTTTTAGAACGAAGTATAAACATGATTTGTTTTAAATCATACAAGATAAATATAATAAAGCAGCGGCAAAGAAATGAAAGCTACCTTATGGTGAAAATAAACAATGTTAAATTCTACATACGGCTTATCAAAAACTAGGTGAGTCTAATACGAGTGGGCAATTATTATATATTCCAATTTCTGTTATTTAATAAATCTATACTCTATCTATACTAATATAATAAAGCGTAAACACACTACTTTGTGGAGTAGGACGTCAGCAATCACGGCATCTTTAATAATCCGTTCTTTAATAAAAAGCTCTACACCTACGATACGCTTTGGGCTATATATTTAAACGTTATTAAACTTAGGGTGTAAACGAATTGGAAAAACCCTTCATGTTGGAAAGGGACCATAAACTACAAGAAAGCAAACATTAAGGAAGCAAGGTTATTGTGTGTAACGGTAATTTGGACTTTTGCAATTAAGAATTTAACAAATCTAAACAATAAAATAAAGTTTACCTACGTAATTTGGTCCAACTTAAAGCGTAGAATGATTTTTATTGCAATTCTTGACTTCATTATTTGTATACTTATTCCGACGATTGTTTCCACTTCTGTTTAAAAAACTTTGGGAAGTGCACGTTGTTATTAATTATATGACCATCATATCTTTCATTAATTTCATCATTTAAAAATTTTATATTTAAAAATTCAACTAAGTAAATACATCTTATTAGTCTTACTAATATCACTAATCACTAATATTATAAATGCGAAAGTTTAGATGGATGGATGGATGGATGTTTGTTAGCGTTTGTGGCCTAAACGGCTGAACGGAAATCCATGAAATTTGGCACAGATTTAGAGCATAGTCTGGAAGAACACATAGGCTTATTTTATGCCGGGAATAGTTACAGTTCCCGTGGGATTCATTAATTTAGTTTTTTAATGTTTACTCGATCATTCTGCAACGGTTCAACATATCTTATTGAAATTCGGCACAGATATAAAACAAAGTTTGGAGTACACATGGGATACGCTTCATCCCCGAGAAATGTCTGGTTCCCGAGGAATACGTAGCTATTTGTAATTTATATAGTTCGTATGTTTTCTAATACTACGCGGACGAAGTTGCGGGCAACAGCTCGTTTTGAAATAAAACGTTGGTATTAAAATATGTTTGTCAAAGTGTATCAAACGTCAGATTTCCTGTTGTTCGATATAAAGGAAACGATACATAAACCATATTTTAATAGGATTTGCGTACGTCATGTTAAAACATTTACATTGAATATTACTTTGAATTTGGCTGCTTTTAAAACGTTTATAAAACATTTTACAAAATATGTGGACATCAATAAATTTTTCATTTTCATACATTTTATTGCACTTATATCTTGGTAACATAAACGCAAATGTTAGAATCGATGAACATACTTATATATGGACGAGACGCACACGACTTCATCCTTAGAAAAAAACTAAGTAGCCTATAAATTTCATTTAGATCCGTTCAGACGTTGAGGCTACAAACTCTAATAAATATTCACTCATCCCTCCATCCACTCTATCGCATTTATAACAATAATAAGAAGTGTTCTATGAACTGATAAGGATACAATTAAGAACATTGAAAAACATAGAAAGGATATATAGTTTATTCCACGAGAACGAAATCGCGGTTAACGAATATCTATACTTATTATAATAAAGCGTAATCACACACTTATTTGTTGCCTTAGATGTGAGCAATTACAGCATATTTTTGAATAATTATTTTTTTAATAAAAAGCCCTACACTTGCGTCCCGCTTTAGGCTATATATTTTAACGCCATTAAACTTAAGGGGTAAATATTTTGGATAAAAACCCTAATGTGGCAAAGAGACCATAAGTTGCTGCCAACATCACGGAAGCAAGGTTGTCATCACGTCATGTCATTTTGACAATTGTAATTGATAATTTAACAAATGTAAACAATAAAATAATTTTTTTATAATTTCATGCGGATGAAGTCGCACGGGAACAGCTAGTTGCTTATAAAATACTAGACTGAAGTTATGATTTATCAAATGACATATTTTACTTGTAATAAAATGATATACGAGTATGATCCCATATTGAAACCATTAGACATAGTCTTCCTCGTACAACAGATTAAAATTTATTATAAAACGTGTCTGTAAAAACCCAGTAAATCTTTTCACAAGCGGTGTGTTTACGAGCGATCGAAATGTGGCGTTCAACATTCGTATTACCGACAACTTAGATGTATTATGTTTTTATAAAAAAAACTTAATAAATTACCCCTCATCAATTTACGCTCGCAAAGTGGTCCAAAATAAATAGAATAATACACATTTTTGCGAACTAAAATCTCATGATTTATCAAAAAACTCGATGAAAAATTATCGATATGTGAATCACGCATTCAAAATTTCTTAAAATAGTTTGAAGGAATTTTTGTCTATGTTTTAAAATAGATTTCTATATTCAAAATAGTATTCTCAATAATGAAAACAAAGGAGGTCGGACTTAGTAAGAATTCTCAGCTCCAATCGAGCCATATATCAATAACTTTTTCATACTTGTTTTCACATACAATAGCGTATAGAACAATAACGTAGAAAAGGCCTGAGGCATTGCTCCGTCTCTAATTATTCTTAGCCTGACCTTTCATAGGAAAAAGAGAGATTTTCTGAAAAGAATAGTAGTTTTTAGTAGTCATTTATCAAACCAATTCAACGCTAGTTTACATTGTTTCTTGAAAAAATAAAACAATTTACTTACTACAAAAAATACGGCTTGATAATTTTAATTTCATGTTTTTTTTTTACAGATCATGGCATCCAGTTTAAATAACGCATCTATTGATGTATCAGGTTTCAATGACACTGGAAATAACTTCTTTGTGACATTTTATGATGTAGATAAAAACGCCTATATAAATGATACGGGAAATTATACTGAGGTATGTGATATTCTAATTTCAAACAATTCCTTATTTTTTTAAAAGGTTCAACTTCTCTTTGCTTTCTCAAGGTTTTCTTCATTTTTCACATCGTTATAACAAGAAAAAACTGGGAAAGGAAAGTGGATTTGGCGCAGGAAAGGACATTTCGATCTTGATGGATACTTATTTATAAAAAGTCAATTAAAAAAAATAACATCCTAATAAAAAGCTATCCCTTGTGTTCTTCTTGAAATGTTATTGTTTATTTTGTAACGTTTCAGGAATACCAACCTTTTGTATTACCAGTTGGGCGGCAGGTGCTATGGTCAATTCTGTTCTGCATCATTGTGGTCGCGGCAACATTCGGCAACTTTGTCGTCATCTGGATAGTGGCTGTTAATAAAAGAATGAGAACTGTTACTAATTATTTACTGGGTAATTATTAATTTCCAGTTCCAAAGTAGGAAATCATACCCACCTTTCACTCTTTATCTGTGTAAAAAAGGGATATCAATAATTTAGTCAAATTAAAGTTAGCTGCAATTAACTTATTAACATTATTTATTTTTCTTTTTTTATTATTTTCTTTTGTTCATTTTAGTGAATCTTTCTTTAGCCGATGCAATGATATCAACATTAAATGTTACAATAAACTTCGTGTATATGCTGTATAGTCACTGGCCGTTCGGATACTTTTATTGCAAATTCAATCAATTCATTGCGGTCGTCAGCATTTCTGCGTCTGTTTTTACACTAATGGCAATAAGTATAGACCGGTAAGTATCAAGTTTTAGTTAACTTGTTTTACTTTTTATTTTGTGGCAACGGCGTTATCGCGTAGTCTAATTAATTATTGGAAAACATATTTTGTCACTAAACACACACACACACACGCACTGTACACAAAAACGTTTTTACAGTCTTATGTAACTGTGTTCTCAAATTATAATTTGAGTAGATTAAAAAATCTTTATATAATGCTACTTTAAAAACAAATCAATCTAAGGGAAACAATAAAAATTATCTGACGATATTAACTAGAAAATCCCTTACCACATCCTCAACCCAATAAAAATAATAATTACTAGGATATAATAATTTAAATGGTATGTGCTATATAATTTGTTCCAGGTATATGGCAATAGTTAACCCCTTAAGACCTAGACTCGGCAAAAGAGCCACACTCGGCATTATGACAGCAATATGGCTCGGCAGCGCCCTCCTCGGCAGCCCTAATCTTGTCTATTTCAAAACGGACTTTGACTATTTACCTGATGGCAGTGTGAGGTGAGATCAAATGTGTTTGATAACACGTATTCCAGTCTATCCCCTAAAAATATCATAATTAAAATCCTTAACACAAATTCCAATTATCATGTCTAAAAGATTTGACAAATTATGATCAAGGTATTCAAAAAATTTAAAAGACAAAGATGTAATTAGAAGAAGTTTAAGAGTAGCCCCAGTGGTTGAGAAAATAAGGAGTAAAAGGTTAGCTTGGTATGGGTATGTTATGAGAAGGGATGAATCGCATGTAACAAGGAGAACGTTAGTTAGGTACACCGGTAGAGATAGACCTAGAAAGAAATTGATGGATTGCGTGCAAGGTGACATCATCAAGAAGGGAGTGATGACTGAGATGACGGATGATAGAGTTATTTGGAGGACGAAAAACTGGTGCGCCGACCCAACGGGAGTAGGATAAGGCTGGGGATATGACGATGATAAACATGTGAAATTCGACAAACAAATGTTATTTATAGTTCTTTCAATGTCTATTGTTTTAAATATATTGTTTATCATAGATTTTGCTTTATTTTTATAGAACCAAGTTTTCTATGTGTCTTTTCTTTCAGGGAAGTATGTTACTCTGAATGGCCAGACGGATTAACAACAAGATCTGAAATCGAATATATGTGAGTAAATTCAATGTATTTATCTTTTTATTGACCATATCATAAGGTGGCAAACGAACAAGCGGCCAATGAGTTCCGCCAAAATTGGTGAAGCGACCGCTTCCCATAGACATTCGCAACAAAGGATGCGTTGCCTAACCTTGATCGACGGAGGTGGAAACGCACATAAAGAGGATGTTTCCTATGAGTCTCTTCCAGCATCAATTCCACGTTTCCTTGCCATCTTTTTCTCATAAAAAAGGGCGAGAAGGAAAAGGGACTAAAAGGTTGTCTATGGATTGTTGTATTATAATTAAAAATGTAATAAATAAACGTGTATATTTTCCAGTTACAATGTAATATTTATGATGGTGACGTACTTCATACCAATAATAGCGATGACCTACACGTACGCTAGGATAGGAAGAGAGTTGTGGGGCTCCAAGTCTATCGGTGAGAGCTCTCAACGCCAAGCAGATAATGTGAAAAGTAAAAGACGTGTAAGTACATTAATTTTACAAAAGTTCAGATTAAGAATTTATACTGCGATCTAAAATTAAACCTAATTTAAAACGCATAAATCTCATTTTGCTATCTGGTTTACACTCCGATCTGTGTGACTGTTATAACATCACCTTTGACATTTCCAGGTGGTGAAGATGATGATTGTCATCGTAGTAATATTTGCGGTGTGCTGGCTGCCGTTTCACGTTTACTTCATCATCACCTCGAATTATCCTGAAGTGACGAATTACCCTCCTATACAAGAGATATATCTCGCCATTTACTGGCTGGCAATGAGTAATTCAATGTTGAATCCAATTATACTATACTGGATGAATATTAAGTAAGTCTTAAATAATTAACCAATCATATTCCTGTCATAAATATTTGCTTTAAATGAGTAGTAATATAAAATGTAACACAAAGATCTCGTTACCTACGCAGTAGCTGAAAAACTTGCATGCTGACGTCAAACGTACTAGCTTATTGTATGCCAAATATTGACATGCAAGTTAGCGTTTATACGAGTACATGCTCGTTGCCGGCAAAAGCCAGCAGCTGTGCCACTCAACTGATATGAACCCTAACATCATAAAGGTCAATTGATTTAAATCATCATCAACATCATCATCAGCTCACTACACGTCCCCACCGAAGGGCTCTGAGCCTACACTAATAAGGGGTGACTAGGCCATAGTCAACCACGCTGGCCAAGTGCGGGTTGGTTGACTTCAAAACATATCTTTGAATTTCTTCGTCGATATGTGCAGGTTGCATCATTGATTTAAATTTTATTCTTAAATTCAGATTTAGAAGAGGCTTTAGGCAATTCATAAGATGTTGTTGTGCATTTGGAGACAAGGACGCGCGCAGACAGGGCATGTACGAATTGCAACATTTAGACAGATCGCTTCACTCATATTCGCCTACGCAGAAAAATGGAACAAGTAAGTTTACTATATTTAAAACCTAAAGTTTGTAAATAATATACGTTAATCTTACTAACGTTTCGACTGGAACAGTTTAGATTGATGGATAGATGGATGTTTGTTAGAGTTTTTAGCCTAAATTGCTGAACGAATCTGTATAAAGTTTGGCATGTAGATAGTATGAAAGAACATATAGACTTCTAGCTTTTGTGTTTTTTTAATTCTACGCGGACGGAGTCGCGGACTGAGCAAATATACAATATGCTAATGAAAGTGTCATCATAATTGACACTTACAGTGATAGTGCTAAGAAGTTCCATAACAAAAATTTGCTGGATTCGAACCTGGCATTTATTATTAGTATCCTATGCTATTAGGCAGTGTCATATAATTTTTATATTTTGTAGTTCTTTTAAATTGAATGTATATCACAGCTGCCTGAAATTATAACACGACTCGTTGACTTTCATCACCTCCTTTGATATTGAAATTATTATTATTATTTATAGAAGTTAGAATCGTGTACAAAATTAGATTAAAGCAGTATTTCAATTAAACATATTTATATATTCGTTTGTATCAAAGAACACGAAAAATCTATTTCCATAGAGTAATTTACTGACAGCAAAGAGGTCAACGCACTTTTGGATTCCATCATACTTCATACTTAATATTATAAATGCGAAAGTTTAGATGGATGGATGGATGGTTGTTTGTTAGAATTTGTAGCCTAAATTGCTAAACGGATCTCGATGAAATTTGGCTAATATGCAGAGGATAGTCTGGAAGAACACATAGGATACATACTTTCGTTTTTATTTTAATTCCACGCGGAGGGAGTCGCGGGCGAAACCTTGTTATTATATATTTATTTAGCTTCTTAGTTCTTATAGTGCTAACTTAAAGTTAAAAAGACTTAGTTTCAGTATAAAGTTTTCAATCCATTTGAAACTTTTTCCTTCTAAACTATTTAACACGTTTCTCGTCTAATGTACTCTAATAGGTTTAAAAGGAAGATAAAATTTATAACCGTTATAGTATTTAATAAAACGAGTTAAAAAATGAAATACTAAAACTTTACTAAAGATAAAATAAATAAATAATAAACTAATAAAATATCTAAACTTTCTATCTCATTTGATATATTATCTTTTAAGTATTTTTCTTGTTTTTTTCCTTAGGTTTATTCAAGGTTTCAAGCAAAATGACAAAATTCAGCAAAAATCCACAGGGTCCCCCAAATTAGTGATTTCAAAACGACTTATTAGATATCAGTTGGTATTGTAATTGATTTTGTTTAACGAATTTTTAAGGATTGTTGTTGTTGTGGATTTGAGAACGTAGTTAGAAGTTTGGCTTATTTTAGATATAACATATTTCGTTTGTATTTCGTAGTTATGCTGGCTGAATGCATCTTGAGTTTATATGTTAGAGAGAAGTGTTATATTTATTAAAAATGATTGTAATTAATGTTTCTTTTCTAGGTACAGTTTCAGTGTCGATACAGAGCTTTAATAACCCAATGGAGAATGACATTACAACCAAAGTATGATGGGAGATATTTAAAAATAATATTATATTCTTTAAGAATATTGTACAGAATATTATTTAGATGTAACTGTATATTTAACATTAATAGTTAATAATGTAACTTTTTATTTTACTACTAAGACTATAAATGTTTTAGTATGTTTTATATTTAACAGAATTAAAACATTTGACAATTTTATTTTCAACAAAGAATATTAAAAATGTTAATTTTTGAATTGTGATTTCTTTAATAATAATTTCTTCTTAGTAATTATTTCGTAGTCAAACTATTACAATATTCATACATTTAGTAAGTTTGGATAAAGCCCAAAACAACCAGTTTGGAACAGGGCCAGGGAGTACTAGGAGTACAGAAAGCGATGGATGGTATTTGAATTCAACGCAATGCCGTTACATGAAAACTTTATGTCACATTCGAAAATAACATTTCATATTGATTAACGGACCAGTGATTCATTAATTCTCATTCCAATATTTGTGTTTTTTTTTACTTCTAGCAATACCAGTCAAGTTACATATTCGTACTTTAAAATATATTGCAAGTCAAAAACATTTACAATTGATAACTCAAATGTTCATATTCATAGTGCAAATGACAATATTGTCGGAATTAATTGTAGCAAAAAAAATTCTGAAACCAGCACCTTTTTTTGGTGTCGCGGCAAAAAGAAAGATACCCTGTCTTTAGTTTTTTAAAAAAGATAGGGTTATGTGAGATTTTTACCCACTAAACACCCCCTCGGTGGCCGCCTTCAGGTGCGATTTGAGGGTCCTGGGATCTCCATTGGAACGCATCAGTACTGCATTGAGCTTTTGCTCGAATCCCGGGAATTTTATACCCGGAAATTTTAAAAGTACATGATCTTAAGCGTTATACTTCAATTTAGAATATTGTAGAACTCAGACTTTTGTTACCAGTGAAAACCGCGTTCATATTTTCCAACTTATAATGTTAAAACGTAGCCATGAATGTATGAATTGCTGTCAAATTGTTGTAAATGTTTTGTTTGTAAAGTAATTTATTATATTGTTCCACATGAATTGTTTCAGTGTAGTTAGTTGTTTGTTATTTCATCTTCAACGTTCCCTCAATCATTCCTGACTTTGACGAATTTATTCGATTTATCCAAATTTATAAACATTGACTAGTTAGTGAAATATATAAATATCATATTTTTTCAAACGTTTAGCTACGGCGTAGACTTGCTACGAAGGCAGATAAGATGTCAGCTACAACGTAGATCTGCTACGTAGGCGTAGCAAAACAATGTAATTGTTTGGTTTTAATAAACCAGACCGTTAGAGTTAAATTATATTTCTAATCTGACCTTATTTTACTTCAGTGTAGAAGGGATGTAAAGCAATATGTTTCCGGGTTAAGTTACATCTGTAAATATGTCTTGTGGCTTTAACAAGGGATTGAGGGACGAGAGGGCATCCTTAAACAAATCCATTTCATCTATTTTATAATTTGCACCATTTATACTATTAAATATTATTTAGAGTTCTTCTCTGCATTGAGCTTTCAAACATAAATAATTTAACATAGATATGTTAAGATATGCTAAAATAGTTACATAATTTTTGTCCCACTACCTAGTGAACATTTAACATTTTTGAAAGTATACAAAATCTAATGCGAAAATGTTTTTTAATTGTAAAAAAATATGCCAAATGTTCATTTTAATAAACCAAATTTCAATATCTTTCACATATGGGATAAGGAGTTTCGAATTAATTTCGCAAGACTAAGACGTCAGCTGTTCATGTCATATTTATGAAGGATGTACTTACACGTAAAATCCTTTCATTTCACAAGTCAGTTACATTAGTCGTTAACGTCCGAATGCGTGGTGCGAAAGATTTCATATTCACGCATGCCATAGACCCCGCATGCAAGGACTGTTTTCATAAGTTAATAGCGCATATGCGAAATGGGCGATAGTCATTTATTTTCCTTGCTACACATACTTGTCAGTTAAGTCTCTGCAGAACGCTTTACATAAAACGATTATTTTCATTAGCCCGTATTTTTCAAAGAGAATGTCTGAGATAACAATATAATAAGATGTCACCGCAGTCGAAAATGTCTTTGACAAATTTAATACGATTTTATTTGATTCAAAAGGACCAAAGCGGTCCGTAGTATCGTATTTGTACAGGATGAAGCAATTTTACCCATATCGATCCTCTATGATCTTTATTTGGTAGCCCTACCGGATAGAATTCCCACCGACCGGAATGATTGACAATACGTAACGGAATTTACATATTCGGTATGTTCTAAATGAAAAAAGTTACGAGCTTTGATGCTACTATGCCCTTTTTCATTCACAGGGTAAACAGTATTTGTATCCGTCATATCTGATTGCATTTCCATTTTACGCATATCCTCTTTTATCCATACTTTGTCCTGTCTAGCAGTGGGCAGAGATAGTTTATAGATACCTTAACTTCTCTGTTTCAAAATCTCATTCTGTGGCTTTTATATTCTATCACTGATTTCCAAAAATACGAAGACGTAACACAAATACTTTACTAATATTTATTTTTAAAGATTTCTTTTTTACTTTATTACTTGAGTGTGGAAAGGTACATCGGTAGAGGTAGACCTAGAAAGAGATGGATGGATTGTGTAAAAGGTGACATGATCAAAAAGGGAGTGATGACTGAGATGACGTATGATAGAGTTATGTGGAGGACAAAAACCTGTTGCGCCGACCCTACGGAAGTAGGATAAGGAGATGATGATGATGATGATGATGAACCCCATACAAAATGAGATGTTTTAGACCGCACGCACAGCTTTGACTAAACTATTGCACAATTGTTATGCGATTGTCGATTGTTTCGCTGTTCAATTGTTTAGTTGCACAACTAAAAATCGAGTAGTGTGATCACCTCCATATAAGCTCATAGAAAAGCGAGACGTAACAGTTGTGCGATAGATTAGTTTCAGATGTGCGCACGCTCTTAATATGATATTTATAAGGGAAGCGGCGATGAGGAGACGAAAAAAAAAACAAGTTCCACAAATGCGCACAGTTTGTTCGCCGGTCGACGTACAAGTTATATGCCGACCACCCTCAAATATCACTTTATTTTTTTCACTTAAAAACTCCCAACTGTTTTTACATGTACCTCGGTAGAAATTAATAGTTTATATTTAACAAAAATAATTATATAAAAATAATACAAAAATACCATAAAAAGGCTTTTAAAATTCTATCGTCAACAATATTACTGGCCATTAACATTGAATAAATCATGACGTATAACGTCACAAAAACTGATATGGGTTCCTTAGTTTTAGGTAACTAAAACAAAACTTTTGATCAATTATACAACCCCAGGATAACCTGTTATTGATGTACGTTACCCTTGTTTATTATCTCCGTGATAAAGTTAACGTCGGCTTCCACTGACGAAAGACTAAGATAACAAATTCGTAAATTCCTCCAGTGGAAATAAAGATTATACCACATTTATATGCAACATTAAAAAAGAACAACGGTATTTTATTTAACCGACTACTTTTATATACCAGATTGTTGAAAAAACATGCACTTGAACACTGCAGAGCAATTTTAAATATTTTCTTTTTACAAACGAATTAATTTACTCTACAAAAAGTAATTTCACAGACGATGACATAACACAAGCTTTTGTCAACCGGAGTACAATAAAGCGTTTACCACAGACATTTAAAAATATACAGACGAGGCGTAGTGAAAAAAATATTTTCACTGATACTATCTCTGAAAGGTATCAGTTGTCAAGTTTAGTACGCCACCTCGTGTTCTATTTACATTTAATAAAACATTTTACAAAATTATAATAAGCTCCATCTTTTGTTATAATGACACCTATTGGCAATTGGAATGGATTAAAATATTATTTTCTTATTTTTATATACAAGATTTTTTATTACAATAAATAAAAAAATAAATCATATTATATAAAAAATAGAAGTCCACCGGCTGCGGAATCCGATGACTCAAGCTACCAGTGGTCAGGGCTGCAGAGACATGAACCTCCTCACTATTCGTGAGGTTTCTAAAATAACCGCCTTTTGAATCGGGCCCTTAATCCAACTGTCTAGCGAGAGCTTCTTGAGGTGTTGGTCGAAGCTCTTCGCTGTCAGCTAATTAATTATATCATTAAATAAATAAATAAATAAATAAATATTGACATGTGGTTTTGAAGATCTAATAATAGGTAGATTTTGTGATGATTGTGAAAAAATGTTTCAAGTGAAATGTCAAACATGCCACGTCTATATATTTTTTAATCTCTTTGAGGTTAACATACTTTTAACTTGTTTTTTTAATTCATTGTGTACAAAATCGTTTCACCGAATAACAAATGTAATGGCCAATTAATATGCGGTTGACATTTTATTTTTCAAACAATACAGCTAAACAGAAAGCAATTTTCCTGACAAAATCGTTTAAAATTTCTAACGACTACCGCGTTTTTAAATAAGCATATAATAATTATCTTGTTATACGAATGTTATAAAAAGCAAATTGTATTTTTGTATGTCTATTTAAAATAAATTCGCCATTAGAAATATACTTTATACTAGTTGTTGCTAGTACCTTTCAAACGGTGAATATTTTTTTAAATCGGATCAGTATTTTTTCAGTTATTTCAATACATGCGAAAATACTAAAATACAAATCTTTCCTCTTTATAATATTAGTATAGATATAGATTACTAGATATTACTTTTTTAATTCCACGCAGACGAAGTGAACAGCAACTGCTAGTTTTAAATAATTTTTAGTCTATCGGATTTCATCATTCTTAAACTCAGAAAACGAGACTAACGAGAAACTAAGAAAAAGCTAAATTCTAAGATATCAGTAAATTCAATTAAGTAATTCACTTAACTTAATTTAAGGCTATCTCTAATTGTGTTTAAAATTAAGCTAATTATAAATTTAAGTTTAAAAACATTCAAATTATTCTTCTTATCTTTAATTCTTGTTGTAATCTCTAGCACGCAAAATAAAAGCAAACTTTGAATTTATTAATGTAATT